AGATGCAGGAGACCAGCGCCTGTGAAGATGCTGCACACGCCACGTCCCCGAACCTGCTCGTCGTCTCCGCACCACACCGTATCGGCACACGTCTCCTGCTGCCACGAAGAGCCAGAGGCGGTGGCGGGGCAGGCGGTGCAGAGTCGCCTCCATCACACACCGTGTGAGTCCTGCCCCCCCCCCCTCTCACCCCCCCCACGTCTCACCAGCACATGGTGTGCCATGCCACGCAAATGTGTCGGTCCGCTCTCATCTGCAGGAGTGCGAGACTCTCGGCCCATCACCTCCGCTTTCTCACTCTTTCTCTCTCTCTCTCTTTACGCACCTCCCGCCGCGCGCGCACACACCCACACAAACACACACAAGCACGTGCACATGCCCACGCACAGCAGTCCCCGGCGCGACGGCCACTCTGCCATTTTCCTTTAGGTCTGCCTCCCCCCTCAGCGCACCCCCTGCACGACTGTGTGTACGTGTGTGTCTGTGTGTGTGTGTGTCTGTGTGTCTGTGTGTCTGTGTGTCTGTGTAGCCCTGTGCTCGTGTGGAGTCTCTTTCTCTTTCGCTTCTCTGCCTCCCCCCTCCCTCCCTCCCTCCCTCCCTCCCACACACACGCGCCGTCACCACTACTGCACCTCGCGCTGTGTTGCTCAGCATCACCCCAGCACAGCCTTCCACTCTCTCTTTCTTTCTATAAACCCCCTTCTCCCTCCCTCCCTCCTCCTTCCTCTCTCTCTCTCTCTCACCTGTATTTCTCACGTAGAGGTCGGAGTATTACCCGGCGTGTGTGTGCGTGTGTGTGTGTGTGTGTGTGTGAACGTGGTGGGTCAAATTTGTGTCTCTCTGACCATCGTCGCTGTCGCCTCTCTCTCTTGCTGTGTGTGTGTGTGTGTGTCTGTGCGTGTGTGTACTCTGCGCTCTGTTTTGCCGCGCTCTCGACGTGCTTCACTCTCTCTCTCTGCTGTTATCTGCTGCTGCTGCTGCTGCAGTCGTTGTTGTCGCCGCCTTTCCTGTGGGCCGTCGTCTTCCTCTTCTGCCTCCCCTCAACGTGCGTGCTTGAGTAGGTGAGTGGGCGAGCCCCCCCCTCACACGAGAGAGAAAGAGAGAGACGGTGTGACGCGCGAGTGTGTGTTTGTGTGTGTGTGTGTGTGTGTGCGGTGACTGATTTGTGTTGTTTACCTTGGTGCGTTGCTGTTGATCGTTGTTGTTGTTGTTTTTGGTTGTGTAGTGTGGCGTCGTCCACTGTGCCGCACCGCACCCCCCTCTCCTCTCCTCTCCTCTCTCCTGTTCTCCCCTCCTCAGCGTTGGATGGAGAGTCAGGGCACGGAGGGCGGCGCTGCGACGCTGTCGTCGCGTGCGGCGTCGCCGGCAGACGAGGCGCCGCTGCGCCAGGCACTGCATGATGCGGCGCAGCGCACACGCGCGCTTGCCGCCGTGGGGTACGGGTACGTGCAGCAGCGTTTGCGGGCCGCTGGCAAGTTTGTGCACCTCACCGTGCGCTCCCTGTACTTCCCAGATGAGTTCTCTCTCTACCTGGACACCTTCATCCGCTTCCTCTTCAGCGTCTACTACATTCCATTCCTTGCGATGGTTGTGGCGCTGACGCACGCAGCGATTGAGCGCATTGTCTGGGTGCTGGTGATCCCGGTGACGCAGGAGATGGAGCTGCGGCCGTTCAGCACCTCGCGTGTGTCGACGCTCGTGTACGGGCTCGGCTCCATTGCGTCGCGCATGACGCCCTTCGCTACGCTCGCCGTCGCCGTCGCCACCGTGGGGCACAAGGTGATGAACTGCGTGGCGGAGGCGATGGTGGACGCCTACGCGACACAGCGCGAGCTCGACTACCCCCTTCTGCGCGCGCGGCTGCGTTTTACGGTGAAGAAGACGTCGCGTCTGGCTATCTGCGGTGTCGTCTCGATGGCGCTTGCCGTGGGGCTGGGGCTGCTCTGCCACACGAACGCTGTAGTGGAGTGGTCGGGCCGCGAGCCGTGGGTGACGGCCGCGGCGTGGAGCGTGTTTGCGATCCAGATCGTCTTTGTCTTGACGACGGTGCTGCGCGAGGTGCCGCTGGAGAACACGGCGCTGAACCGCCGGCGCTTCTTCCGCCGCCTCGACCAGCAACGCTGCCAGTTGCAGACGCGACTGCGCAACGACCTGGACGCGCTCCCCGACACGCTCCCGCCGCCGTTCTTGCTGCCGGTGGAGAGCACCTTCTCGTCCCCGAACAGCAGCATGTCGGTGGCGCAGTCGACGCAGGTGCGCCGCGGCGCGGCTGGCGCAGGAGGGGGTGGCACTCCCGTCCCGGTTTCGAACACGGCGTCGGGGGCGACGTCCTTGGCCTCGACGCGGAGGTCGATGCCGGCCACGGTGGAGACGGCGCGCCAGCTCGTCGGTGCGTCGGCGTCGCAGGTGTTCGTCGCGTACGTGGAGGACGACTGGTGGCGCCACCACATCCACACCATGCGGCACATTGGCTTCTTTATGGTGGTTGTGTTTTCGGTCG